ATGCTTACATAAAAACGATAAAATCAAACCCGATCAAACAACTGTCCGATGTGGTCTACGTTTATAGATCTGAGGAGCGATGGTCAGGTGAAGAGGGTGAACCAAGAGCGATTGGTTTAGCTATGGTCAGCCGACAACATGTGGTTCGACTCAGCCTTTTACCAACACCGCAGCCAACAAATGATGAGGAGTTTTCGTGAGGCTGCTCAAAGGTTGTACATAAAGTCGCGCCAAAGTGTATAAAATATAAACGATATGTTTATTGTTCACATCCTATATTAGCCATAATCAAATTATGAGCAAGAATAAGGCAGATTAATTCATATGCTGGTCAAAAAAAGTTTTGGTCAATGTGTCAAGACCCGTACGTAAAATGAATATATATCATGAACCTTCTATCCTATTGACTGCATCACTTCGCTCAGAGTCCATTCATGGCTGCTATCTTCTTGTGAATTTAGTGAAGGTGGAAAATATTCTACTTTAGGGACCTAAATGAGAAGTGTTTGCGAAGTTGAAAGTCATAATCGATGGATGACCCTACTTTATTGATAGTATCCTCGGTGGTTTTAGCTAATACGACAATTCTTGGTATACCAATTTGTCGTAAATGCTTTATCCGCTTGCCTATGTTGTCCTCAACTCGGTCATCAAGCAATATACCTCCGCTAAGTCGACGATCAAGCGATGACAGTGTCAATTCTGTCATAACATTGTCCAAAAGATTCTGTAAAGTTAAGAAGGTAGAAGGAGGACAATTTTAAGCTAGGACCAAAGCACAGCTGCAACGTTAGCGATGGTGATGCGTTGGGTCACCCACTAATGCAGTATTCAAACATTCAGGAATTCTTTTTGAACCTAATTTTAAGCAAAACCCCAATTCTTTATTGTTAGAGAATAGTTACCTTTGAAACAACAACTGCTGCTGAGAACGGCGCAATGAGTGGAGGTAACCGTATAGCTTTGTCTGATGGAGATGATAATGAGACAATAGCAGGGAGAAGCCTGAGCGATAGATATAGGTTGAAAATCATTTGATACTTATAGGGGCACTTTTCAGAGAGAATATTAGTAAAATGATTTTCAGTGCCTCTAAAACTCAAAAATCTCAACATGTACTGCACTAGCAAAGACTGTAGGGGGTACATTACCTACTAATTCCAATGCCAAAACAGCACATTTCAAATGGCTGCTTCTCTTTGGTGAAAGCATTGAAAGCTTCAGAATATTTTGTACCTGAAGTGCGATGATTAATCCA